TTGACAGGGATGATGGCCCTGGCAGGTGCGCAACCGTTGTCGCAGAAGTTCGAAAAAGTTGCTCGCAAAAGCCCGTTTGACAGAAATGTTTAAAAAGTGTTGGGTTTCCTACGAATCCGCAAGAGCGCGCGGGATGAGATTTTGACATTTTTTTGTTGAAAAACCATTGGTTTTTTGATGTTTTTATGTTAAAATCGCTCCGAACACTAAGCTTTTGGAAGGATTTCGTCTTGCGCGCGCGAATGTCCACTTTACCTTATTTTTTGCAAGGGATTCTTGAAATTTGATTATATTAGAACAAGAAATGTCATTTTATAGTGTTTTTTGCAAGGGAAAGCGGGGGGGAACAAAACAACCGGATCTTGATCACATCGAATTACCTGAGGCTTCCTCACGAAAATGATGAAAATGTAGCTGCGGCCTAGGCGGCGCAGGGGGGCCGTGCACCAGGGGTCCCAACAATAATTATTCTTTAGAATTAATAATGTTCAACAACAAAAACAACAAAAACAACAACAGCAGCAACAATAACAACATCAACAGCAACAGCAACAGCAACAGCAACAGCAATAATAACAACTGTTACAACAACAACAAAAACAACAATATCACAATTCACACCAAAAAACAACAACAACAACAACAACAACAACAACAACAACAGCAACAACTGCAACCACAGCAACAACATCAACAACAACTCAACAATAGTAATAATAATCTCAAACACCACAACAGCAACAACATCAACTAAGCCAAGTAACACTATGGGGCGCTGCGCCCGCGGCGCCGCTGTTCAGCATCAAGAGTGCAGACGCATCCCAATGTTCCCATTATGTTTTTTTCTCTTGCCGCTGATGCCGAGGTCTCCACTTCGCCCAGCCCGCACCCTCCTCTTTCTCGCCCTTTTTGTCCCCTTTTTCGAGCCTCTGGTTTCACAACCTACATCCCGCCTTCGCCCTCCGAACGGTGTCCTGTGAGTCCAGCAGCGCGTAAGCTTCCCATTTAGTGTTTACGACAAGCGACGGTCCTTTCAATGTCATCGTCCGTGGGGGTTTTGGCCACTTGTTATTATCATACGTCGTAGGGTAGTTCTTGTCCAACAGTTCGCCCCTGCGCAACCAGGACTACCCCTCTGCCAGACCCCCACATACCATCTGCACGCCGCCTCCCATATCCATGGCCTGCCCCATTCTCATACCCCCCCTGGCTCCTCATGCGGCGTTCCTCTCTTCTTTCTCCTCTCTCCCTTGACCCACGATGTCACCTCTTGCAGGCCGTGTAGATTTTTGTAGTGGCGCCCAACGAACGGCATACATGCAAACAAGCTGGATTAGTTCACCCCGCGGGAGGGGGAGTCTTGGTCCCAGCACCTAGTCTCCCCCGACAGCAAGCCCTATTCGCCTTGAGCGTGTTGTGTATTGCAAAACTTCTGCCCGACACTGCTCCTGAATCCAAATATCCGTGTCCGCGGCCTCGCAGGTACGGCGCGTTTCTTCTCAAATACCCCGGACGGAACGTATCCGTGCGCCCGCATATCCGCGAGATCGCCTCCCGGCATTCAGACCGCGAGGGCGCGGATATGGATCCATTTCGCCGCTCGTGAGCCGGTACGACCGAGATGGGTATTGCAAGATTGGGCACAAAGACCAACAGCAGTTCCTATCCATTTTGAACAGGACACGGGGACACGGTGTCAGTGCTAAAGGTCGCCTGCCCATTAGCGGCCGCTGTCGGCTTTGGACAGCACTGTCTGATGGGCCTCGTGCCATTTTCCCCCGTACAGTCAAAACTAGTAGCAAGCGCGATAAGGATGTTTTTCCCTCGGACGCCCCTGCCGAAGCTTCTCAAGCGGGGCTGGCCATCCAGAGTGGTTTTAGGACCAAGGAGGCAAGGATGCAAGGGTGACCTTGTGCAGGTTGACCGAGCAGGGAATGAGTTGGCTTTCTCGTCGAACCTACCAGAAAGATGCGTAGAATGTTCGCAGCGCGATGCCCCATGAAGATGTCATGCCCATTTCTCGACGAGAGGAATCAGTTCTATGGTAAATCAGTTCTGTAGTCGATCCCCTACTCGAGGTACAGTCAACCCACATAGTAAGGATGGGCAACCTTCCCAAGGGTACCCTTGCGTCCTTGCCTCCTCGGTCCATCCTTGGCCACTTTCGATGGCCCCGCCCCGCCCGGAAAGCTTCGACGTGGCCTTCCCAGGCCCTTGCATACTTATCTCGCGTCCTTCTTGCACAGCTTGACTGCACCCCTCCCTCTCTTCCGTTTCGACCGTGCCCTCGGGCGCCCGACGCGCAGCCCCGCCGAGGCTGCTGCTGTGGGGCGGCCCCGCGGACGCGGCGCCCCCGGAGGAGGGCGCGGGCCGCGCCTCGGAGGCCGCGGCGGCCAGCGAGGCCGGGCACGCCGCCGCGGCGGGCGCGGCGGCGCCGCTGCTGCCGTGCAAGGAGGAGCCCCACCAGGACGGGGCGGCCACCAACTTCGGCGGCGAGCGGGTCGGGTTGCCCCCAAAAAAGGGGGTGCAGCGGCGAGGGGGTGGTGCAGCAGATTTGGTGCAATAGGTCTGTGGGGTTGCAATACCCTTTTGGGCGTGCAATGCATTCCCGGGCGCAGATGTATTGCTGGATTGTCGCGCGCAGTACATTCGTCGCAATACAATGCAATACAATTCTCTGGCGCAATACATTTGCAATACAATGCCCCAATCTATTGCACCACACCCTTTCAGCTGGACCCCCTTTTGGGACGACCAAAGCGAGGCGGGGAAAAAGAGAAGGAGAAGGCCTTCTCAGAATGCGGCGGGACTTCTCAGAAGCCCTCGCGCCCTCTGAGAAGTTTTTGCGTGTGTCTTCGGGGAAGGCTCAGAGAGCATTTCTCAAAAGGCCGGGAGACTTCCGAACCTTCTGAGAAGGCCTTCCCCTTCTCGCTTCCCCCCCTCGCTCTCCGCCGACAACTGTCGCGACCAGGGGCAACGACAGGGGGGGGGGGGCTCAGGGGCGCAGAGGTCGCAGGCTGATAGACCTCCTACCCTGACACGTCGATTCAGGAAATGGCCGTTTTCGGTTCGCGCGAGGGCGCCGCGGCCGCCCTTTTTGCGGCTCCGGGTCCCTCGGCTTCGGCCCCAGGCCGCTTTCCCGAAAGGGGAGGCTCACGGAAGGGAGGTCTGCCCGCCGCAGAGGGGGGCTCGAGGGGCTCCAGGGGCTCCAGGGGCTCCAGGGGCTCCAGGGGCTCCAGGGGCTCCAGGGGCTCGGGCACCTCTGCGGGTGCCCGGCGGCTATATCTCGCCCCGGGGGGTCCTCCGGCGGCCGCGCCCCGCCGAGGGGCTTAACCCCCGGGGGCCTGGCCCGGGTCGGCCCGGCACGGCCGCCGGAGGGCCGAGAGCGGGCCCGGAGGCGGGGGGTGGCTCCTCCTCCTCCCGCCCCTCCTCCTCCTCCTGCTCCTCCTCCTCCTCCTCCTCCTCCTCCTCCTCCTCCTCCTCCTCCTCCTCCTCCTCCTCCTCCTCCCTCCTCCTCCCTCCTCCCTCCACCCTCCTCCCTCCTCCCTCCTCCCTCCCTCCCGTCTCGCGCCGCCGAGGTGTGTTTTTTTCTTTCTCTGCGAGGGCCGTCGGGGACCCTCCGGAGGGCCATCGGGCAGAGAAGCGCGCACGAGACCGGGAGAGATGCACGGGAAAAATGGGCGCCCCGAGCGACGGCAAGCTCCCCTTGATAATCGTGGCCTCCCCCCCCCACCACCCCCACCCCTTGACCCCTGGGCCACGCTTTGTCCCCGGCCAATGCAGACTCGGCCGGAGGAGGGTGGCGGCAAGGCCGAACTCGAGCGTCGCGGGGGGAAAATGCACGGGAAGTTGGACGTCCGAGCGACGGCAAGGGGGCGGGGGGGGGCTCCGGCGCGCCGGCCCCCCGTCGCCCACGCAGCGCCAATATAAGAGCCCGACGGCCCGCCCCGCCCAGAGACGTGCGGGTTTTCGCTCTCGGGGGACCGTCGCCGCGAGGCGCCGGCGAGGCATCGCCGGCGCCGGCTCGGCGTCTCCCCCCCTCGAGCCGGCCCCCCGCGGTCGCTGCCCCTCGCACGGTGCTGACAGCGAGGCCGGATTCGCCTCGAGATCCTGGCCGGAGTGCGAAGGATTGCAACGGAGGATGGCAAAAAAACCCGACGGATTGCACGAAGGATTGCAAAAAAACCCACGAGGGACTGCAAAAAAACCTTCGTCCCCGACGAGATGGTCTTCTTCGGCCAGCGTTCCTTCCCCGCTGTCGGCCCCCCTGGGGTCCGCTCTCAGCCCCGGGACCATCAAGCATCGGCGTGGGGCTAAAAACTACCTCTGGGCAGGGGGTCGGGGCCTCTGGGGCCGCGCACTGAGAAATCAGATCGGCGGATGACAGGGAACGCATTTCGCCATGAGTCGACACCGAGCAGCTAGCAACCATGCCTGTGCGAGCTCCAGATCTCTCGGTTACGAGGGATGCCATGGGCGTGCGTTTTTCCAGACGGGGAGCCCCCCTCGGCGTCCGACAACTCGCATCCATCTTTGTAGCGCCTTCATCGCATTGACCTTCCCCATTCCTCCCCCCAATGGGTGTGAGAGTGTGCTGTTCTTCCGTCGAACTGGGGGAGCCGAAGCTCTCTGGCCCAGCCTCGCAGGGGCCCCTCACAAGGCCTGGGCTGAACGGCCAAGGCCCGTCGGCAAAAGATGGACTCCCCCACGAACGACAGCGGTAGGGAGGGACATTGCTCAGGCTTGCAAGGCTCGAAGGTTCGAGGCTCACGGTTCTCGAGCGTTTTCGTCGGTCCTTCGCGGTGTCCGAGCCTTTGAGTCCCTTCCAGCGGCTGCGCTTCGCCGAGAGCGCTCCAGGGGTGCCCCGATCGTCCCGACTGTCAGAGCGTGAATTACCTACCCCGCTTTCGCTTCCAGACAAAACCAAGTCATACCACGCGCCCGCCTCCTCGTCAAGCGACCTGACTAGTACAGGCCGTAGTTTGGCATCGCTTGGTATCTCTTGGAAGCGAGGGTGGTCAAAAGCGGGGTAGGTTTGTTTGCCCCCTAGACTGGCCGCCCGGGAGCCGAGCTGTGGCCCGAAAGCCACCGGAGGGACCGGGCGGCCTCCACCAGGGCAGGCTCCGACCACATCGGGGGGCCCAGGCCTCCCCAGCGCACCCACAATTGTCGGGCGAAGAGAGCTATGCACATGCACCGATCCTGGCAAGGCCCATCCTTGACCCAGGATCGGTGCATGTGCCTTCCTGGCCAAGGCAGGAGGGCGTGTGCACCGATCCTGGGCTCAGGATGGGCCTGGCCAGAATCGGTGCATGTGCGTAGTTCTTTTCCCTCTACACAAGAGTCGGGGCCGAGGTGCTCCCCGTGTTCGGCCTCGGGGGCCCCTCGCCCGACCCCGGAGCAGCTCGGGCTGGAAAGCGGACCCCAGGAGGGAGGGGTCGGGGGATTTCCGTCGGAGGACGCGCATTTGGGGAGGGGGCGACGCCTGGGGGGAGGGGGGCAGCGAGGGCTGCGGAAAAGGAGCCTTTTGGAGGCCCTCAAGGAAACCCCTTCAGGGCCCAAGAGGGGGCCTTTGGGGCCTGAAAAGGGCACCTTCCTCCCCCCCAAACTATTGCGCCCCCCTTCAGTTCGCGCCCAAACGGCTGTTCCCGGGGAAAGCGTCGGGGGATCTCCGAGGGCCCCGTCTTGCAAGAAGAGCTGGACGGGCCAGCTCCTGGAGGATCCGGGGCTCCACCCTGAGACCCCGACGTCGCAAGCTTTTGACACCTGGCGTTTCCGCCCGGTCTCGGGCCCCGGGGCCCTCACGGATCGATCCGGCTCGGAGAGTGCCGCAGAGAGATGGGCCCTGGGCTCCGGTCGTGCTGCTTCGCGACGTGGCGTTTTTGTTCGGAGCGTCGGATCTCGAGGGTCGAGGGCGAAAGTCTGAACGTTCTTCCGTCTTTCTCGGGCACCCGAGAGGCTTTTCTCGTCGTCGCGGCTTGAAGAGGAGGAGGAGGAGGAGGAGGAGGAGGAGGAGGAGGAGGAGGAGAAAAAAAAAAAAAATGAGGATGATGAGGAGGAGAAAGAGGAGGAAGACCAGGAGGAGGAGGATAAAGAGGAGAAGGAGGACGAGGATGAGGACGAGGAGGAGGAGGAAAAGGAGGAAAGCCAGAGGAAGCCTAGGCTGTATTAACGATGATGCAACCCCCCCCTGAGTGCCTACAGCCAGCTGTGCCGCTGCGCGAGGCGCCACTGGGAAGACGAGCGCGCGCTCCGTGGAACCTCCGACAGCTGCGGGCGGGAGCTCCGTCTGGCGATGAGCTGCCCTCTCTTCGAGTAGGGGATCCTCTTCCTCCTCCCTCTCCTCCTTTTCCTCATCCTCCTCGTCCTCATCCTCCTCCTCGTCCACCCCGCTCAATGGAAAGGGACGCAGAAGTATGCTGCAGTCTGGAGGTCCATCTTCGCTCATAGCGAACGTCGCGGCGCCTCCGACCCCCTTCCTTTGTGTGCACCCATGCCCACCTCTCCATCGAGCAGGCCTATGAGCGAGGATGCGACTTGATCGCTTGGGTAGGTATTGCGTGGGCTACTTTGCAGAATTGGCCTTTCGGCATGTGATGCTCTCTCAGGGATTTTGCAAGGCCGTCGAGGCCGAGCTGCAGTTCCGTAAAAGTATGTTCCACTATGTGTCGTGGGCGGCGGTCAGGACTGATATCCCTTCTCTGTTGCCCGTCAAACCGTTTTCGGCGCCTATTAAGGTGTCGCTGCACGAGCATGAGTTCAGAATGGATGCTAGGTCAGGCGAGGTGCGATGTAATTGTTGTTTCGTCGGAGCTCGGTCCCCTGGCACCCTGATCCACCTGTGCAACGGTAGCCAGCCAATGGTGTGCAAACGTAGTTCAGGTCGGCTTGGAAGGCTGAGGAGTAATTCCGCACCTTGGGGCCACATGCCCAAGCCTTTCAGGCCCACGCGGTTGAGGTTGCACTTGCAGCGGTTGATGCTGGGATCCCCTCGTCGTCCGCACCCTCCAAGCTTCCGGTTGTGGCGGCTGCTGACCCTCCTGCTCTTCCGCCTCCTCCTCCTCTGGGGACGGGGGCCGTGGCGCTTCAGGAATTCAACGATCGTGGCCGTGTCATGTCCCAGATCGGGCGGTTATGTATGGGTATTGTGTGTTCTGGTTTCCTAATTCTGCCCCGTGGGGTCCCGTGGTCTGTCTTGGGTATTTGTCTCGAGGCATCAGTGGTTCCTTCCACTCGGGACAAGCAAAAAAAGCAAGCTAAACAGGGCCTTCGCGGGCCTACATCTATCTCAAGAGGGATCCTTGGATTTGATGTCGGCGGATCGTGGCGGACGCGCTCACAACGTGCCTGCTGCCTTGCCTCACGGGTTTCCCGTTTTATACCCTTTCTTGCCATAGCCCGTCGTTGTTAGTTTTTGGTATCGACGTTTTCGGTCGGCGCCCACCTCCTCCTCCTCCTCCTCCTCCTCCTCCTCCTCCTCCTGCTCCTCCTCCTCCCTCC